GAAAGGGGTGGTGGCTGGTTTGCCGTTTGAATGCGGGCCACGTTCTTGCGGGGCAGTAAAGACGTTCGCTCCTCCGCGCCGAGATTTGAAGACGCGCCGCTGTGTTCTCACCCTGTCAGTGCTGGTGACATCAAACAAAAACAGATGAAACAGGTACAGTGGATCTAGTAAGGATCTCCAGACGAAACTAGATGGCGTTGAGCCTCAGTCGAGTCCATGTGAGATTCAAGGAGAGGTCACTAGCGAGCTGAGCCCGGTGGGGAGGTGGGGAGGGAGGCGGGGCGGGGCGGGTGGCGAGGGCACGGTACGGGTGACCTGTCAAACAGCCCCGGCGCGGTGGGGCACTGCCGCAGGCAAATGGCGCAGTCCAGCGTTATTCCATATCGCGGTGGTGGGCCGGGCGGCCGGTTAGTTTGGCAGTTGGCTGCTTGGAAGGAAAGGATAATGAGGCATGGGTTTGCTGTGGCCGGTTCATCTACTGTCAACTATGATGAACCCAAAGTAATGCGAATGTTATGTTGGTATAATGCAGCTGGCAATGCAATGCTAGGGAATACTCCGGGCGCCCAGTAGCTATAAGGATTATATTATTTATGTCTCCTGAAATTTTCATTCAATATAATTCAAGCAATAGAAAGATCGTATCGTTCGCCAGTTTTTTGACCGGCTGGCGTTTCTTGCGTAGAGCGCCCTTTGGCAAATAATCATCACGCAGGTGATTTTTTACTGGTAAGATTTAAGCCTTTAAGGTCAAATCAAGTCGCTAAGAGAAGATGAGGAAAAGTAGACGAATGCCACATTTTTGTGCATGAAGTCTCGAGTCAAAAAAGGTAAAAGTTAATATACGTGTAAGCTTAAAACAATAAGATCAGTTAATAAAAATATTTGACCCGAAGTTAGCCTCTGTTTTGTCTGACCATGATTGCGTGTAAGACACCGGTCCAACCGGGTTCAACCCGGCCCAACCTGGTTGGGCTCCCCTTTTATAATATTAAATTTGGCCCGAACCCTTTGAATGAAAGGAATCACAATGACAGAGTCCCCGCTAAGCTGAGCTTGTTGCGTTGACCCGGCTCTCTACCTTCCGATCAAACAATTCCTGGTCTATGGCAGAATTAGAGTCAAAATTTTAACGTGCGCACATAACCGCGCACGGCCGGTCCCCTCACTGACTTCGCCTGGCAGCGGCCTGTCACCAACCACAACCATGTTACCATACCCGTCAGGAGGCTCAAAAAACGTCAAACACACGTCGCGTTTCGAACCCGGACTTATGCAACCGGGACGTGCGCTCTCACCACATGGCACATGGAGTCCAACGCTCTACCGACCGAGCTACCGGGACGGACATTTACCTTGCGGTTTCGCCTCGTGACATTGACAGACGTCAGACACTTTGGCCGAACTCTAGTCGAAACACTGAGCAAGCTGCGCAGGGCGATAGGTGCTCGTAGCGTTGAGGTTGGGTAACCTGTGAGCTGAATGCGATGTCGTGAGTTCGAGCCCCAATCCGGGGTCTGGTTTTATCTCGACACGAACCAAAATCTTTCCTTCTACTGCAACACAGATAAGCACGATGACATCTTTCCCCAATATCTTTCCCCAATATCCTCTCAAAAAGTAAAAGTTATCACTTATAAATTTTTAGCAAAGTTTCATTTTTAAGAAAATATTTTTGGACATTTTTCTGGAGCCATTTCAAATCTTTTTTCTTTTCTGATTCTTTTCGGCCCGATAAAACCCACCAAGACTGAACGTGCCAAACGAAAAATATATAACTCAAATAACAGTTTAGAACAGCCTCATCATGCATCATGAAAAGTATCATGCAACTATCGACTGAATAGTTGCATGCTATGAATACGTCCTAGATTTCAATTACTTAGGTATCATTGTTCAACATTTTGGCTGGAACTGACGCTGCTTCTGGCATGCCCGTTTGTTTGAGATAATGATTCCCAGTTTCAGTCGCATTTTTGCTGGTTCCACATGAACAGGATACCACCATACCGGAGTGAACGCACCCGCAACCACCATCCCCTCCCCTCAGCCTCGGCGCAGTGGCGGGCGGCCCTGGGCGGCCCACTCCAACTCCCGGCGCTACGCACGCCCCATGCGCCGTGATACCGCGTCACTCCCCCTCCCTCCTTCCCCCACAATGACCGGTGACCTCACTTCCCTCGGGATTTGGACTCGCCCTACCCCGACCGTAGCGCCACGTGGTGGCTCTGGAGATCTTAAATAGACCCACTGTACAGTGGCCGGAACATCGGCGGCCATTGCATCGGTAGGCCGTGGGCGGTTTGTACCATTTCGCCGACTCGCGACAGCGGCACTGTCCTGGCGACAGAACACAGTCGAAAACATCCCAGTAAAGCAAAATTGGGACCAACTGGTATACTGCCGACGGCCAAATTGGCTGGTTTGCTTCGACAGAAATCCCCTGAGACGCGGATTCCCAGGATTTGTAGGATGTAAACAGCATCAAACAGTCTCCTCTGCCGTCACAGTTCCGATTGCACCTTCAGTAGCAGGGATGTCGGACCGACCAAAGCGGCGCCAACTACGAAATTGACGAGGGGAAGCCCCTGCTTTATTTTTACACTTAAAATGCGCATATGCGCATATACTGCTACCGAATGCTCAGTTATTAGCGCACACAGTAGAAAATTCTGTCATGCCGAAATAATTTCTTTTTTTTCGCTTTCATACGCTTATAAACGCTGCGATCGTTTCCTCAAAGTCTCCACTTTCAGATCATTATCATTCTGTGTGCCATCAGCGAGGTGCGCGCGCCTCGAACGGCCGCCCGGATGGCCCGCTGCCGTCGCCGCCGTCCCCGTTCTCCGGTCCAGCCAACGTGCCAATCTCCGTTAAACCGGCAAAGCTCGGCAGGAATGCAATATTCCCGTGTCGGCCGGCGCTTGACACCTTCACCGGCCCCTCAATGTTTCCGAATTTCGCGTCACGACCCCTCAGCTGTCTGATGGTGGTGCCAGTATGCCCGGCACGCGCCCGCCATCGTGACCGGCTCCCGGCTGGTTCCGCCCGGCGCCCGAGCGGCGTCCTCTACGGAGACGGATGCCCGTTTATGCATAGTGGCTGCCTGCGTGCCTGCATGTATGAATGGCGATGGGAGCTTGGGGAGGTGTCGGTAATGTCGGAACGGGTTATGGTCGGCGGCGTATGGTGCACACTTAATAACTTCGGTGCCGTCTATATATAAATAGAACGAGGAACAATGTTAGACATGAATACGTCGTGCATATGCTGTTGGCAGCTCATATGATGCTAAGTAGCATCCGCGAGAGTTCACATCGTGTTCTGTCCATGTTTCTCTTCTAAGGACATCACCATCCTTTGACATCAGAACATGGCCACAACATTTCGCCGGAGTGTCAACATGTGATACCTACTACACCGAACCTTCTGAGGGACGTGTAAGCTCGAAGTTACCCCAGACCACCCACCACCGCCAAGGTCCTTCTCGCCTCATCGGGTATGCAGATGACAACGGATATGTCATGTGTCACCTGAGCTCCGTGTCGGATGACAGCCCTGTGATGAAGAGGAGCGGTGGGGCGCACACGTGCCAAGTGAGAAGATAGGGTGACTGTGGCAACTCGTAATAAGTTCTGGAGGTACTCACTTTACATGCAGGAGTGTCATGATATAGGTATCATACCAGAGGGTGCTGACTGCTTATGCCATCCACCCGCCGCTGCAGAGGTCGGTTCACACTCGGCCATTCAGTCAGTCTGCTGACTCACCCTCGAGGCTCTTCAGCAGCAGGGGCAGTGGCCGCGCACGGCTCGTGCTCGGGTCAAGAAGCGCCAGAGATAAATCAATGTCTCCGGCGCCAGGCCAAGCCTTTTTTACCCGGCGCCCAGTGATATTACGGCGCCGCATCTGAAGGGGCTCCTGCCGGGAGCCGACCGGCCCGGCGTGCAAAAACGCCGCATGGCCGTAAGCAGCCGGACACTATCGCGCTGCGCATCATAATTGCGGCGATGACGGCGCAGCGCCCGCGCCACGCTCGTCTGCCGTGTTTAGACAATTATGGCGTTGATGGCACAGCCCGGGGTCAACTCTCTCCACGGGCGACTTGTTGCAAAAAACAAGTACGTGGAAGAAGCCGTCCCGTTTTTATCTTGGTAGGTACGGTTGTGCCTCCAGGGCGCAGGCAGCAGTGCCGCTCTATCTGAAATTGCAACGGAAGAGGCAAACACTGGCAAACCGAGACGCAACAATCTTAACATGAATGCATGTATGTAATTAAATAAGATAAGATAATACAATTGGAGTTCATTATGTTCACTTGAAAATCCATTACGGTTCCGAGGTTTGGAAATAGCAAGGGTTATAAACGATTCATACTTAATGAATTATAATTATTTTGGTTCAGTTTTATTTTACTGCTAAACTAGGGACAAAGGGACAGCAGAGGGACGGCAGTAAACTAGGGACAGCAGAGGATCGCAAATAGCCACGAGTAGCTTGACCGAGGCTGAGCTAAACCACAATGCAAGCTAAGCCCATCGGAGGTCCAACCAGTGACAACGTAATACCAAAGTTTTCAGCCGTCTTTTATGCTTCTTTTCTCACGTTGCGGGTAACGGCTCAATACAGTTGAAACAAATGCCCAACCAGCCATTTCATGTCCTTGGCTATATTTTATTCACCTCTTTGAAACACTTCGCTCGGGCTGCTGGGTCGCCAGGGGGCCATAAAAACACACTCGACAACAGCGCTCGCACAACATCCCACGCCACGTTACAACAACACGCATTCGTCACGAACCCTTTGAAGCGAACCCGTCCTCGCGACTGGCTGCCGCCCTGTCTGTCCTGCATTGTTGTTTGACTTTTTACGACCGTCCCGAACGTATCTCCGTCACCATCACTGTTCCACTGTCACGGTCGGGCCTTCCGTGGTCCGGCGACAACAATGGTGCGCCGGGTCCGCCCTGACCGCTGACACCCCCTCTCTGTGTCCCGCAGGAGCGCGCCGAGATGCTGAAGTGGACGCTGAGCAAGAGCGGTATGGACCGCACCTCCTCCGACAGCGGCTCCGGCAGGTATCAGATCAAGCGCGCCTCGGTGCGCGTGCTCAAAACCGAGAACGACAAGGAGAACCCCGAACACCTGTTCGGCAGGTGGCTGCACCGGGACCGGCGCGCCGCCGAGCCCGTCAAAAAGGAGGCCGTGCGCAGGGGCAAGGTCAGGTGCAATCCGTTTGACCCGAGGAGGATTTTCGGTAAGGATGAGCCGGAGAGCGACTCGGGTAGTGTGTATATGCGATTGGAGCGGCTGCCGGCGGCGGTGGACGGTCGGCGCCGCGCCGCCCCCGCCCCAGACCCCGCCTCGGGCGGTCTCAGGGATGTGACCAACACGCAGCGAGGTGACGGGACGCGAAACCCCGGAGATGATGCTGCGTGTGGTGTGTCAGGTCGCAATCAGATGGCTCTGGGCCGCGTTGGACGCGACTCGACGAGAGACGCGAATCGAGCCCCCACTCAAAATTTGTCCCGGGACGCGACTCGAAACTCGAACCGAGGGCTGAGCCGAGACACCGCAGCACGAGCTTCTGGTCGCGGCTCTTCCTCTGTCGGCGATGTCATCAAAGAGTTCACCAACAAACCGGGCGCCGGTCGTGACCTGCGGAGACCTGTGGCCCTGAAGGGCGACTCACCCGAGGCACAGCAGCTGACGGAGGAGAAGAGGAGCGAGCGGCAGCTGACGGCGGCCAGGGACGACGGTCGAGATGTCAATCCCAGAGCTGATGCCTCGAGGAACGAGGAAAGGATATACGGAGTGATTCGTGACTCGTCGGCAACTCGCAGCGACCAGCGGAAACCTGTGAAGAAGGCGTGTGTGAGTGCGGGTCGGGGCGCACCATGCCACGCGCACACCACCACAGGTCAGCACATACACCACGACTACGGCCAGCGGCCAGTGTCCGGCGCGCTGCAGCTGCGGCTGCCCACCCCGCGACCCACCTGCGCCTCGGGGCACCAGCCAGGTCACGGCTCGGGTCACTCCTCCGGCAGCGTCCCTGTCAGTCAGTCGGGCCGCGCCCTGTCCGTGATCCACGAGGGATCGGAGCGGACTCGGCGACCCTCGGGGACCACCGAGGCCGCTGATCCTGCCGCGATAGCGACCCGTCACAGCCGCGCCGCAGGATTCCCGACGTCGCTGGCGGCGCGGCGGACGGCCAGCAGCGTCTCGGCGTCGGGGGCGGCCGCCGGGCAGGGCCGCTTCACGCCACCGCCGCCGCCGTCGTCGGCTCTGTCCCTGACGGAAGCGGTGCGGTACCACCTGACGCCGCAGCTGGCGAAGCTGGACGGCCAGCACAACACGTCCAGCGAGCGGGGCGACAGCGGCATCTCGGAGGGGCTGGTCAGTCCGCTCAGTGAGTCGCAGGACTCGCACGAGTGCTGGGAGGAGGGCAGCGCGGCCAGCGAGGTCTCCCGCGCCATCCACGCCCAAGGACTGCCGTCGTTCTATTTCAGTCGACCGGGGCACCTCAGGACGGACCCCTCCCTGCTGGAGGCGGTGACCGCGCCGTACCCCGGGTACCCCCGCGGAGACCGGTCACGGGCAGCTCCGACCCCGCGCAGGGAGCGGCACGCCCGCCGACCGCGCAGTCACGTATCGGTGGCCGACGTGCTCTCGGCTCTGCAGCAGCAGCAGCGCGTGGTGGCGAGTCTCCCCGGCGACACAGAGTGCCCCCAGGGGTCGCTGAGGAGGAGCAGGAGCTTCTCCGACGTGTCCACCCTCTCGAGAGACGACCAGACCAGCGGCGGTTGGGGCGAGCAGTTCGCCGAGAACAGCGCCAACACGGTGATCGAGCGGACGCAGAGGCCACCCAAGTCGGTCCGGTTCGCTCTGGACTCTGACGACCCGATTTATCACGAGGTGAACGGGTCGTACGCGGGTAACGACAGCGACGCGCTGCGCCGCTCGCAGCTGTACCGATCCTACCAGAACATCGGCGCCGTGTTCGTGGGCATGGAGAGCTCGACGCGGCCACCGCCGCCCTCCGCACGGCCCCAGCCAGAGGACGAGGAGACTTATCTGGTGATGCGATCGCCAATAAAGCGGCCCTCGGGCCCGGCGCGTGCCAATATCGCGGAGTCGTCTCGCCATCAGCCGACATCCGGCCACGTGCGACCACCGTCTGCCGCGGCAGGTGGCTCGTGCGGTGCCGGAAACGGCAGCCGGGGGACCAGGTGCGCCGAAAAACTGGAAACGTCGGAGTCTCCGGCGGTGCTGGAGCCGCGGGGGCCCGGCGGACGCCAGCGGCGGCAGCGCGAGACAGTCACCCGGCTGTCGCTGCTGCTGGAGGAGCGTCCGTCGGCCATGGAGAGCGACGAGTCGGCCGACTGGTCTCTGGAGGCAGTCATCAACGACACGCTGCAGCGGGACCTCTCCGAGACGGAGACTGGAGACGCCGACGGCGCCGAGCGCGACGCGCCGGGAGGGGATGGTGTCAGTGGTGGTGACGGACAGTTTTGGACGGTGGAGAGCGGCGAGCCGTGCAGCGGGGACAGTGGGACGGAGAAGGAGAACACCTACTGCTCGCTGGCGCCGCCAGTCAGTGATGTGAGCACTCTGGACTCGTGGAGTTCTCACGCGCGGCCGCGCATGAAACCTCCGCTGGCGGCGCCCCGGGCCCTGCCGCCCCCGCCGCCACCGGAGCCCACAGAGCCGGTGTACGCCCGACTCGACCCGGCCAAGCTCAGCCCGCAGGTGGATAAGGTGACCTGGCACGGGCCGGGTCGGCCGACCGTGCGCTCCGTCAAGAGCCGGCACAAGTCGCCGGCGGCGGCCGGAGGTCGCATCTGGAGGCACCCACGCACCTCGGCCGCCAGCCACTCTACCCCGAGGAAGAGGACGGCCCGCCACCTGCGCGACGACTCGAACGACTTTCAGCTCGGCTCGCCGGGCTCGGAGTCGTTCGCCGAGACGCTGGGACCCGGCGAGACGTACAGCAACCAGCTGCAGTTTGCGCGCACGGCCGACTCGAGCCTGGCCACTACCGTTTGGCTCGGACTGATGGGTAGGAAGAGCCGACGGGTAGTCAGCACACAGCTCAAGACCAGAGACCTGTTCCAGCCCAGAGGTAGGTCACAACCCCCCCCCCCCCCGGGGACGGGGAGGGAGATCAGCCGAGCGCTGGCGTTAAAGGTGAGATCTGCCCCACTCATAACGACTGGAGCAATAGTTGGCTCTGGTCAGCAGAAGTGAAACGCCGCCGGCTTCTGGTAACCTTAGAAAGTGAGATGGCGGCTAAATTAGCATGCATGAATATCAAATCAGATGAATACCTTCGACTGAATGCCAGTCGGTGGTGGCCTTTCGACTGTCGATGCCCGTCGGCGCCCGGGGAGGCTGAGTGGGCGGCTGGGGACAGCTTCTTCCCCTGGGTGTGGACGGCTGCGGTCCCCGTCCATAATCAGACGCTCGCCCCGGGGGCACGCGGCGGGCGTAATTTGAATTCATAGCATTTACATGCGGGGATGATAGGCGGACGATACGGCGCCGATAACGACCGACTCCGACCGGACGTCGCCAGCCTAATTGTTTTCCATGCCGACAGATAAATTCCACATGTGATTAGCATAATTCTGGGGCGTCTGACGGATGACAAACGTCCGGGTACACCGTGTCGCAGGGGACAGACGTCAGAGGCCGCAGCAGAACCTCCGGCGGTGTGACTATCAATCGCTGTTTGCGACTCTACTGCTGACCTTGTCCCCACACCGGTGTTCGGCTGTCTCCTTACTAGACATCGGAGTGTGTTCGGAAACTCCCAGACAGGTGACGGGGCTGCGGCCGGCGATGCGTCAGACTTCTGACGGGCCGCGCGCGCGTCCGATAAAAACCCGCCGCCGGAGGGTCGCTGATAAACCGGCGGCGGAATGCCGAGTATGCTGCCGGGTTTGTGAGTGCTAAGGTTTGTAGAGCGCCAATAAGTCGACTATGTGTGGCCGCATGCCATGTTTGGTGATATACTATGGAATAATGGACACACAGCATTGCTTGTGGTGATAAGCGAAATGTGTTGCCTATCTTTTTTCATTAACCTGTTCGAAGCCGATCAAAAGCACCAATAAGAACGCACGAAACATATTGCAATTTCAGGAAAATAATTGTTGAACAGAAGCACTGAAGTGCACACTTTCCGAACAGTTTCCGGGGTCCTTCTCAGTTTGCCAGTATCAAGCTTTGCTAACTTTTAATGGTCCGGTCGGAATATGTCAATTGCCGAGTCGCAAATGAGGCTGTCGGCAGTCGGTGGTGACTTGTCTCAATCAGGCCAATGCTGTGTCGGCGCTACAAAGGTCCAACAAAGTTAGTCCAAATGCGTACTGCACTAATTGACTAAGTTGGATTCATGGTAACACGGTTGAAGGGATTATTTGAAAGTCTGCTGAAGTTGTCTCGCGCTACGAACAACTTCTCAGATAGCCCATGTATGATTAAGTGAAACTTACGACTTACTGGAACCTGGAAAACTAGAAGCGTTTAAATTGAAAGACAGATTTAATCTCTTCATTTCTGAACAGCCATGAAACACTTCTAGAAGATTACCTTTGAAAAGGAACAGGGACTAACTAATTATCTACTACCGACGAATCCATAGGTAGGTGTGGTGGTTTCCACAACTTACCTTTTCATTAGGTCGGCCAAGTACGGAACAATAGTTCTCAAAGCATCTGAACAAATGTTGTAAACAGCTGCCTTTATTAAAAGTAGCACAGACACAGAGTACATATATTGAAGTTCAGTTTTCCGCCTGACATGTTCGTGCGTCACCGAAAATCGAGCCCGCTCACCTCCGGGTAGCAGCTGAATTATGTAGGCGTCCTATCGGAGACGCGCGTTATTGGATGTAATCGAGATAGGGATTGATCGCTGCGCATCCACCGAGGATAATTGATCGGCCTTTATGAACCGCCAAGATATTGGAAGCGCTACGCAGAAGATAGGCGTCAAGAGTCGCTTACGTCAGTAAAACGCTATTTTCCAGCGTTAATAACAGCGAAACAAAACTAAAGATCCATTTCAGCTACAAAAATAAGTTACTTTATTTCGATGATACAGCTAATGGTGAAGCCTGTAAGCACACCATCTCCCAGTTGGCTGGAGTCTTTCTGATGACCTGCAAGGTATTTGAGATACATTGCCATTGTCGCTGAATTTTCTCGTCCCTGTCTGAAGCTATTTCTTTTTCTCAGCTAGATTTGCTAGTGTGGTTTTGTGCAAAAGCCTCGTACCTAACAATGCTAACATAATGTTTCATGAATGGCGGAAAAACTGCACTGACGCATTTGCTATTTGCCCATGACCCGCAACCGTATCCGTGCTGTAGATATGAAGACTATCGGTATAAGATCAATGGGCGAGGACCCGATGACCACGGCCAGCCTGATCGTCTCATGCGTCCATGGAAGAAGAAGCTATAGGCTTTTCGTCTCTTCTGGCAAAAGTTCTCTTATTTTGGGCGCTGGCGCCCATGAGTTTTCCAATACTCTAGCTGACGAATTCCCGGAGAGTTTAGCATAACACCCGACTGCGCAGCATGTGCTTACTTTGATTTGAAAATGTGACTGGGTACGACATTTCATAACCGCACCAGGCCGTGTGAATCCAATTGCACTCTCATTTCGAGCCCGCCCTCGGCCCCTATCCCAACACGGCGCGGCCGGGCTCAGTGACCTTTCTTACTACCCACTCACCATCCGTGACGGCCCAGGTAGGCCCAATGACCCTTCCTTTCGGCGCCATCCGGACGAGTCCCATCCCGGCGCTAACTAACAGAGCGCAGTCGCCGGAACGGCCGGCCAATTGAGGTCAGACGGGTCACCGCCGGCCTCCCATGACTTCCTTCCTCGGCCGGAGAGGCGCTCACGGCCGAGGGCCATTGTTTCCAGAGCAGGCCAGCCTAATTGGCGGCGGCGTCCACCGATGTGCCGGCCGCAGTGCCGGTCGATCGGAGAGGTGTGCCGCAGATCGGCGCACGTGATCCAGGCCCGTCCGACGCCTCAGAGAGATCTGGAGAGAGACCGGCGGGTCCCCATAGACCGCCAGGTCCCCAGAGAGACCGATCACTAAGAGAGTAGCGAACGCCGTGAATCCAGACGAGCCGACGAGGGGCTCATCAGTACGATTTTAGTACGCACTCGTCGTGCCGGTTGAATTCGAATGAGGCAAGTGGGTGCACGGTTAAATGAAGCTTTCTCATCAAGGGTAACTGAACTGAAGATGATCGAACTTTCAGTTACTAGCGTAGCGTTTTAATAGTCCCTCTTATAACGTTCTAGACTTAATTTCCTATTTTTAGCCATCCAATGCACTATTCGATAATTCAGCTGATCGGCAACAGTTGAGAACCACAAGGGAATCTTTCTTCGGGCCAGACAGAGAGCTAAATTCATCTGCTCTCAGCTGGGTCGCTGATGGCGCAGGAGGAGCTAATCGATACAGACGCACTCACAAAGCCACAGGCGGACGGGTCGGGCCGGCCGGGACCGCAGGGATTGGAACGGCCGACTACACGAATTGGCGGTGACTGTCACAGCGAGGTTGGATGGTGGATGTAACTACAGATCTGTTGCTGTCTCGGTGAAGCTCACTGTCGCCTGTGGCTACTGGTGGCTTCTCTCGGCAAGTTTCAGCATAAAAAGGACGTCTCGTTTCAGAAAAAGCTTAGCAGTCCGTAGGCGGGCCACCGCGGGTGCAGGCGGCCCCGCTCTGACCTTTAGCGATCCCCCATACGGACAGCATATGGGTCGGGCGATACGATACAGCATACCTACCTGAAACCACCGTCCACCAGCCGGTGGTGGTCAGACGGGACCCGCACCCCCAGCGCGGTGTCCGCTACTCAGACCTCTGGACAGGAATCAGGTTTTTGTCCGCCTCTGAGGGGCAGTAAACAACCTGGTGGGGAATTTATCGCACCAACACTATCACAAAAACGGTCCGCGAATTCCGATCAAACGAACGGCCGCCGAAAAAGCGCGTGCCTGAGTTTCGCCCCCGAAGGTGCACTCCGCCCCTCGGTCGGGAGGGGAAGGGGCTGTCGGACCCGATGTCAGACATGTCTGGGAAGGGGGAGGTGGTGGTGGGGGGGGGGGGGCTGGGTGGGTGGAGGCATCCTTCACCGAACGGCGGCCAGTGAGAAGCGTCCGGTAAAAACACCAAACACCACCCCTCCCCTGTCTGGTAGTTGGACGTCTTGATTGGTGCTGACAAAAGTCATTTATTCACGACTTCTTATCGTGTCCGGTGGGCGGGAAGAGTTCAGCGGCGCCGGCTTTAATTTGTCAAACGTCAGACAGCCCTGAGTGAGTGGGTCCTGTGGGGCTGGACACAGCTCTCCGCCAGCGAGGGAGATTGTCGAATCGCCACAATGATCCTCCAGTCATTCTCGCTGAATGGAAGCACGCAAAAACATCGTGACTGACGAGTTTTATATTTGCGATCTGCTCGATCACCCCAGCAGAACTAGCATGCCAATTAGGGCCATTCAACGAGCTTCAATAAACCGGCATAAATCACCGGTAGACTTCGACTACTGAACGCATACTGATTGTGTCTGCACGCAGTGGTGCAGCGTAAAATAATTGCAGCTTCGATGCGATGCTAAATAAGAGCCCCATGCAATTACTGGCGAGGGTTGGCGATCAGCTATTACACGGTAATCCAGTATCGGCTACTAAATACACACAGATACTGTAGAGAAGATTTATTGTCTTGTAAACCCGTGCGCTCAGCTCGGTAACTCGAAACGGAAAATAAATCATTTGGTATGCCGTGCAGCGAAGCAATTTCGCTCTGAGATACTTTGTGCATGACCAGGGACTTGCAATGTAAATGAAGAACGCTGGAACGCTGCAGCGTTTCACGCGAAATCCACATTCGCTGTTTTGTAAGCTAAACGCTATGTCCGAGAAGACCACCCATGAACAAAGCAAACGAGTTCATTAGTTAATGTGGGGATAAATCTTTTGTAAATTAGACATGCGCCTTGCTTCATTGCTCCTAATAAAGGAGCAATGAAGGAAAGTAATATCTGCCGGCTACCGAAAAGAGTTACAAACTACAGTCCTGAGC